TATAGCCTTAACCCTTGCGACTTTAGTCAGTACAGGTGTTGCTGCGGGGGTGGGCACAGGGACCACTGCATTAATACAGGGGCGAGATCAATACAACTCTTTATGCACTAGCTTAGACCTGGATCTTCAGAGAATAGAAGAGTCCATATCTAAGCTTCAGGACTCTATTGGATCATTAGCAGAAGTAACTTTACAAAACCGAAGAGGGTTAGACCTCTTGTTCTTACAGCAAGGAGGGCTATGTGTTGCCCTGAAAGAGGAATGTTGTTTTTATAGGGACCATTCAGGGCTAATAAAGGACAACATGGCCAAAATAAGAGAAGGGTTGGAGAAAAGAAAATTAGAATGAGAGAACAGTCAAGGATGGTTTAAATCTTGGTTCAACCAATCTCCTTGGTTAACAACCCTCCTCTTGGCTGTCGCAGGACCTCTAATCATCCTGCTGCTATTGGTCACAATTGGTCCCTGCATAATAAATAGGCTACTAACGGCTGATCAGGAAAAAATCGATACTGTCCATCTCTTGGTCCTTCGCCAGAAATACCAAGCCTTAGATACTGCTGAGGAAGATTCCTCAGTCTGACCTAGAAAAAAATGTCCTGTTGTTAGAGAAAGAGGAATTTACTGCTTGTTTGAATATACTGCTTGTCTGAATTTACTACCTGAATTTACTTGTTTAAATTTACTGCTTGTAACCAATTAACTCAACTGGAGACACAGGCATCCAGAGATAGGGGCAAGCGCTACAGCCCTCCCCCCCGGAGCCTGACCTGATCTGTGTCATGTCACGTAGACATGTCTGCTTACACAAGATAACAGGAAAGAGTTGTGCCAGGCCAATACCACCCATCTCTCCCCGATTGAGACACCTGAAGGGAGTTGTAACATTTTTCTTGTTTTAAAGTTATTGGTTTGTGAAATGCTTGCTTTGAAACTATTGGCTGTATAAACACGGGCTTTTGTGTAACGGTTGTGGGAGCCTATATAATCTTTACCTAAAATTGCCTCAGGGTCGATCGCTCTAACCAGACCTGCGTGTCCTGGAAGGACGGTCGGCCCCAGCTAGCTGGTTTAATAAGTCTCTGCTTGATCTTTGCATCTCCATACTCGTGCATTTGTTCTCCACAAGAGACCCACCGAGTCACGGACCCTAACACTACCTCTGGCCTTTGTGGAAAAACACGCTGTTCTGATCTGCCCCAATACAGAACATTTCATAGGATTGTCTACTCTCTCGAGTTACAAAGTCCCATGCAAACTCAGACAGACAAAAACCCTGCATAAAACTGGGAAAATGAACAGCAGACCCCAATCTTAGCTGAAGAAATATTGGCAACTGATTTCTGCTAACTGATTACTTCTTAATACAAGAGACTCTAAGACAGGCTGAGTAGACCTCAGTGGATAGACTTGTACTGTGCAACATCTGGGGACACTAACTTGACACACTGGGCCTTAATAAGGATGACAGATTATTTGGGCTCCAGGGAGGGGACTATGGGAGGGTGCTGGTGGGGGCAGGGCTATAAAGATGATTAAGATTGTTTGAGATATTTTGTATAAAATAAACAAAAAGTTCAATTTTAAAAAAGAGGCAGGGGGGGGGAGAGTAAAGCTAGATGGTCACCAAGCCAAGAGACCACTCACTAGTCAGGAGGCTGTTTCACCTAAAACCACACCGTTATTGTGAGGAATAATTGCCTCCTTAATGAGACATTTCCATTATCTTTCCCAGAAATCCCTCCCCCATTCTTTCCCTAGCAGAACTTTTATTATGTAGCACTGTGGTCTGGTTTCTGAGTAAATCAGAAAACCTTACCTTCTAAGAAAAAAATTCTTTTTTCACTTGGACACTGGGCAAAGCCTGGACATCCTTTCTCAAGCACTGTGGACTTTCTCACTGTTTTTCTCTGAAGCTACCCTCACCCCCTTTCTAGTATGTGGATGCTTGGTTACCATGACTGCTTGCTAACCTTCATTCTATGCTGATTTTCTCTCAACATCTAGTAAGACTGTCCTCATGCTTCCTTCTAAGACGATTTCTGCATCCTTTATTAACATATGAACGAGAATAACAAGTCAACCAGGAATTCCATTATCCTTACCAAGGTAACAGATGAATTTTTGCTTTGTTCACAGTAGTGTGATATCTGTATTATATAGTTACACTCATAAAAAAGGCAGGGAACAATATTATTAACAGTAATCTTAGCAGCAGTAGCCAGAGCTGGCATTCACTGGAAAAAAATAAATATACCAGTACTTTATATGTAGTAGCAATTTATCTCTCCAAATAATTTCAAGATGGTGATTGCTATAAATCCCATTTCCAGATTAGTAAATTGAGGCAAGAAAGTTGCCCAGAATATACAGAATCTTATAACTTAGTACCACTTTTTCCAAATAAGCATGCACTTTATTATATAGGTAATTTAAACCACACTTAAAAGATGAACTGATTTTCCCGAAAACCATGTTTTCATTACACTATTTGTTACCTCAAAATCTATTCCCCCCTGAGAATAACTGCTTTTTCATAGCTAAGGTTTCCTTTTCTTTCCCTCAGACTCTATTAAACTTATTTCTAGCCTTCTCAATCATTAGATCACATATCAGTTGTGTTCCTTTCAACTTCAGTTCTGAACTTCAGCTTAGATGAGTCCTCACAGTGCCCACAATACTCTAGCACAGTCTGTCTCATATCTATATTTTCCCCAGGTTTCATGTTTAACAATATCAATGTTTAAGGATAGATGAATAGTTCACTTTATGAAGTAATTTCACTTTTGCATGCTAGGTAGTAAGTAGCACTGGTGAGATAAACATTCATCACTCAAATAAATAAGAATCTATTTTAGGATACCGATAGCAGGTGAATTTTTCTACTCATAAGCTTCTCTTGCTCTTGGGATTAATTTCTTAGTTTACTGGAAATTATTGATATAAACTGATAAAAATTCAATAAAGTTTCAAAGATTACATATGAAAATGAATTCATTATACAGAGCAGGAAGCAACTGCAATTACTCTAGAAACAAATACCATAGAAACAAATAGTTAACTAAGCATTGGCTATTTAAATACTTCCTTTTTTGACATGTTTTGCTATGACCCTCAGGTAGTCTTAAAGTCCTGGGTTCAAGTCATTCTTCTTACTCAGCCTCTGCTTCTTAGTACCTGAGATGACAGGTGTGACTATTGTCCCTTCTTGTGCCCTTATTTTTTTTTCACTATATTCAATTTCAATCCAAATCTAAAATTTCCTATAGTACAAAATGTCTCCAAACTTGACTTATACATGAGAATATTGCAAATGAAAGCAAAAATTAGATTTTTGAAAATTATTCTTATTTTATTTCACATATATTTCTATGTAACATAGTGTGTTTCATGAAATCCATCTACTATGTAATCTAAATAAGCTTTATTTATTCAGCATTACATACGCTACAGGGCACTGAACAAATTGATAAAAATATAACAAAGTCAGAAAGAGAAAACATCCTTACCTTTAAAGAAGACAAAATTTCCATCACTGTTTTCATAAACTGCATCGATACTGGGAGGCAAGCCGCGCCAGAAGTAGGTAATTTGCATGGGGTAGCCATCCATCACCCTGTTGTTTCTGACTCGCCAAAACCACTGGTCCTACAAAGTAAACAAAAGCATCACTCAGTGGTCCTTCAGGCCTGGACAGCATTGGCCACACAATCCTGGACCGGACAGATTAAAGTTAAGCTAATATCCTTATAGGCCTCTTTTATCAACACTATTTGAGGAAAAGCTAACACTTTTTAGTAAACCAGTTTAAGTAAATTCCTGACTTCCTAACCCTTAGAGTGAGATTAAAAACTGTCAAAATACTCAAAGTTTTCATTTTATATTATCCCTAAAACTTTCTAGTCAGAAAAACAGAAACAACTCAGATAAGCTCCTGACTTGTGTGTGTGTGTGTGTGTGTGTGTGTGTGTGTGTGTGGTAGTACAGTAGGTGGTAGTGATTGCATACCTTCTATATGCACAAGAACGTTTTTAGCTATGTATATCATCATGCCTCAGATACTGAGGACTGAACAGAAAGATCATACCTCTCAGGATGCCTATGTCATGCTATTGCCTTGTTTAATGATAAATAGAGAACTTGACCATCTAATGTGTCTTGGATTGGTCAGTAATGGTAGCTCTAAAGAAGCAAATTTATCTTGGAAAAAGAAAAATCACCATTGGGTTAATTTTCTCCCCTACCTGCTCTCACAGGTTCCTTTACCTCCTTCAATAACACAGGTGGCCTGTCTATTCTTATCTCTGGAGAATAACACATGACTTGCCTTGCAGGTGTTTATGAAGTTGGTGAATTACTAATTAAACTGAACATAATGTATTTTATTTTTATTTATTATTTTTTTTTGCTTTGTGTTTTGTTTCTTTTTGAGACAGTGGCCTTTGTAGCCCCAAATGGCCTGGATTTTACTATGTAAACCAGGCTGGCCACAATTTCAGAGATTCACCTGCCTCTACCTCCTGAGTGCTGAGATTAAAGACATGCACCACAAAACTCAGCTGAACCTAATGTATTTTGACATACATCACTACTATTGAAGAAATATTCAAAATGAAACAAAAATATACCAAAATGCTTTATCTGATGACCCTGAATAGTTTCCTATTGAATATTTCAGAATCAAGTTATTCAATATTCTTTGATGTTAGAAAAAGCAGGCATATTTAATAAATTATTATTATTTAAAAATATTTTACTTAGTATTTTATTGTATGTATGTATTGCCTACATACATGTATGTGTACCCATGTTGTGCAATTCCCACAGAGGCCAGAAGAGGGCAACAAATCCCCCAGAACTGGTGTTATGGGTAGTTGCTAGCTGCCATGTGGGTTCTGGGAACTGAACCTGGGTCCTCTGCAAGAGCAGCCAGTTCCTTTAACTGCTGAGCTGTCTCTCTAGCCTCTAAAATATTATTATTATTTTTTTAATTTTATGTGTATGAGTGTATTGTCTGTATCACTCCAGCCCCCTAAAATATTATTTTTAACCCAGGAACATTTTACTTTATTTCAAATTTCATTACATTTCAAATGCTCATACATATTAATATAAACTATTTCATTTGAAATCATATCTTTAATAAGTATCTCTTACATGTTTATTTTGTTTGCAATTCTCTGCCCTCTTCTCTCATCTCTCAACTTAGATATCCATGAATGATTTGTTGGTCAGCTTCTCAAATTTCTGGTTGAGTATAAGTTGACGTCACTATACTTTGTAGGATTTACTGATGTACTGAACAAATCTACTCAGGATTATTTTGTGTAATGTATATGACAATTATGGCTCTATCCCATTGCTCCTTGTTCTAGTTATTATGGGCCTTCTCTATGAATCCCTGTTATGGAGAAGAAGAACAATAACTTCATTACTGGGCCTGAGTTCATATCCTGTTCTTCTGTTTCCTAATACCTTGGTCAAGATATTAGTCCTTGACTTAACAACAAATTCATAACTTAATCTCAGTGTGATTACTGTACTAAACACAGAAGACTACTGAGACATATAGGCACACAAATTCAAAGATTTTAAAAATATATTTAATCTTTATTCCAAACCAATAAACACAAATGACTAAACAATTCTGAATTCTAACAAATAAATCAATGGCCATGATTAATTTTTGAACAATGAAATACACACACACATAAGCTCTAACTGAAGAATGAGGAAAAAACAATTGAAGATCACTGGACTCTTCTCCAGCTTTCACCAGATGTGTTTCCCATTGCCACACTGTTCCCATATCAGGACACAGAGCCAGTGAATCTTTGCGGTCTGGAGATAGAAATGGGAGTTCTGTCTCAAAATCCACAGCCAATTTGCAAAAATTAGAAGTAAGCACAGAATCATGCAGGAATTCATGCTTATGTCTTGTTGTCAGAAGCCTGAGCAGAAAGGAACATACATATCATTGAGAAACTATTCTCTGATGGAGGATGCCAACTCCCTTGATTCTCACCATAGATTAACAGTTTAGAAATGAGGCTTGAAAATAATTCTTAGAGAAAGGAAAGATGTATGATGATATTTAGGCTCTATACAAATTTTCTGTATCAGTGTAACATTGTCTAAACTGAAGTCCCTCATTCCACCCCCACATATCTGCTAGTCAGTTTTCCCCCACCTCTTCCCAGCTTTATTTTCTTTTGTTGAATCTGTCACAGTGTTAGACAATACTTGTTTTACTTGTTTCTTATGTATTCTGTCTTCACAATGGCAGTGGTGTCTGTGTGTGTTTTGTTCATTTATGATTCTCCATTTCCAGAAAAGTACCTTGCCCACAGAGGTTGTTTAATGAATATATTTGAAAGAAAAAAACTTATGGAGGAAAGAGTAAAGTAAAAATAACTCTTTTAGAAATCAAAGGTTTAAAAACAAATCTAAGATTCTTTGCTATGGCCAAGAAAGAAAAGCTGTGTAGGAGTTATAGAATACAATAAATTCTACCTGAATATTCACATGCCACATATTATATTTCAATACTTATATGCTATTTAAATCTTTAAACTATGAAGGAAAAATACATTTTCATTATTTCAAACAATGGAAGTTCTGCTCTAATAATAGATGTGAAGGGAAAGAAAAGTGACCTCTAACAGATTCTAAATCTGCTCCCTGTGTATTGATTCTGGACTTAAAAATCTAGCTTAACTAACTAAATCACTAACTTACTAACTAAGCCAACAAAAGTGTAGCCCTAAGAAAGTGTATAGGAGGAGATGGGGTATATTAGCATCATAGAACCAGTATATCTGTAGTTAGCTTATGAAAATAAACAATAATTTTAAATGACAAAATTAGACTCCTTCTTAGACGATATTTCACTTCAGATATAAACATTTATAGATTTATATACCAACTTATCATTCTCTACAGCATGGGTCCCAGAAAGGTCATTTTGTTCATAGAAATAAGTCTCCTGAATTTCATACAGTGTACATACGAGTAATAATAAACATTATATATTAGGTTACTTTTATTTCCCTCAAAATTCTGGCTTATGCCAGGCATGTGTTAGCTAACAACTCTGTAGGAAAGGATCCTCCTGATGTGTGGACATGAAAAGAAGAGATGATAGATATGGTACATCCTCTCATAACCAGTGAAGGGTGCTATTTTCAGGACTCTAGCAGCAGCAGAAACAGCAAAAACAATCAGTAGACTTGATTAGCTTTTGCTTCTCTTTTGATAGATTTATTTATTTATCTAGCAACATGTTCCAAACTGAGCTTTGCCAGTTCTCATTCATCTTTGAGCTCTCTTCTATGAGCCCTTCCTAGGTAGACCAGGCAACTCTGCCTTCTGGTTTCTGAAAGAGCATCTGAAGTTTCTGTATTTCTAACCATCAGTGTTGCCACCATCATGGTCTGAGCTGAGATGATTGTGATGCCAACCCAGTATCTCTGATCTTCCATCTTCTGCATTCAGAATGAAGTCCAAACTCCAGTCCCTCCCTGAATTTGAGACACATCTCCCTACAGCCCCTCTTTTGCTCACAATGACCAAATTACATCAGCTTCCAAACAAGTTTTCCACTACTATTTTTATCTTTTATTTTGAGCCATAGTCTCTCTAAGTTGTCCAGGCTGGGCTTGAACTGGTTCTGTAGCTCAGGCATTCCTTAGACTCATCTCATTTTCTGGAGTAGCTAGTAATACAAGCCTGCAACACTGGGCCTGGCTCCCTTCCTTTTATCCTTCCTTTTTCCTTCCTTCCTTCCTTCCTTCCTTCCTTCCTTCCTTCCTTCCTTCCTCCCTCCCTCCTTCCTCCTTCCTTCCTTCTTCCTTCCTTCCTTCATTCTTCCTTCTTCACTCCTTCCTCCTTCTCTCCTTCCTTCCTCCCTCCATCCCTCCCTCCTTCTTCCTTCCTTCCTCCTTCCTTCCTTCCTTCCCTCCCTCCTTCCCTCCTTCCTTTTTCCCTCCCTCCCACCCTCCTTCCTCAGCCTTCTTCTTTCTCTTCCTCCTTTTCTTCCTCTTCTGCTTCCTTTCCTTCATTCCTTTCTTTCTCTCCTTCATTCTTTCCCTCCCTCTGTCTGTATCTCTTTCTTTCCTTCTCTCTCTCTCTCTCTCTCTCTCTCTCTCTCTCTCTCTCTCTCTCTCTCAAAACAATTTCCCCAAGTAGTACTGGCTGGCCTGGAACTGGCTATGGAGACAAGCCTGGCCTCAAATTCACAGAGCGTCATCTGTCTCTGCCTCCCAATGCTGGGATAAAGGGCAAGCACCACCACTCCCAGCCTTCCTTCCTATTTCTTGATAGTAAAGTACTAAAGTTCTTTCCTTCTTCAAGACTTCTTACACAAACGTCACTCTATTATGAATCTTCCTTCCCTTCCCTTTTTCACAGTCTTGTTTAGATGAGCCAGAATCCTCCTTAATTCTCAGTAGAAATATCATTTCCACAAAAAGGCCTATGTGGCCTTCCTCCAATTCAGGTGCTAAAATCTTAACCTCTAAAGAGATATGTCTTTTGGGGAGTGATTAACTCATGAGTGTGTAGACTTTAAGAATGGGATTCTTCCCTTTACAAGCAGGCCTCAGAGCACTCCCTGTCCTTTCTACTGTGTAAGGACACAGAAAGTACTA